TCTGCATCTTTTACAAACTTGCTTCATTATGTCTAGAACAAGGCAAGGTATGTATTAATGAACAAAAATGCTCTAAAGGTTTTTTCTCTTTCTTTTTAAAAATATATAGTTTGTTTTGGTTTTACTTCATTTTAAATTTAATGCATTACAGTCAACTGAAAGTCCTACTTGATTTAAGTTTCTGCTACTTACTGATTATATGACTGAAGACATGTTATTTAGCCTCTCTGAGGCTATAAAATAATTTTCACAGGATAATTGTGAAAATTAAAATAATCACCCAAAATATCTACACCCAGCAGAACAACTACCACTAGAAAAAAGCTTAATGAAAAAAGGGAAAACTTGCTCCATACTGAAAACTTACTAAACAAATATAACTAGAATTACTTTTGGGAGATTTTAAGGACATAAAGCATATTAGAACTATTATGACATTATAAACATTCAGCAAAGCTGTTTAATAAAAAATATTTAATTTTTAGCATAAATAAACTATCTTTGGACTGGAATAAATTTATGTATTCCTGCAACATCCACCAGAACATATCACCATCAAGAACAAGTGAAAACATAATCTACATCCAAAAACGTTTTCAAATCAGCTATGTAGTATGCATTTTCCTATAAAATAATACTGTAAATAGCAGCAAGGCTTCAAAGGACCCAGAAAAGACTAGTCAGCTGGTAATTTGGCTAAACCACAGGATTATACCTACATAAATCCTGAGTGTATTTCTTTTGGCTTCTAAGTGGGAGTAACTTTCTACCTTCTTCTAGCTCCCTTTCCTGGCATTTAGAAAATATTCTTTGTCTTTAGTGGTCAGTAGCTGTAAGTAGACAGACCTACGTTGCAAAAGTACATGGCTTATTCATTCCTAGAACTTACAATTTTGTTTTTTGTACTGACTTATATGCTTGTGATGCCCAATCTTCGTGACAAATTTTTTCTCAATTTTCAAAGCCCAACCCAAGTGCTGTCACCATTTTATTCCATATGTTTCAAAAAATGCTATAATATATGGCGTTAAGTACATGAATAGGCTTGGAGTCATATAACCTGAATTACCTCTATCACTAACTAGCATATGACCATGGGGAATTATTTAGTACCCCAGAACCTCAGTTTTATTAAATGTAAAACATGAATAATAATGATGCTACCTACTTCATAGGAATGTCATGAAGATTAAAAGAAACAATGTAAGTATAACATTTAGGACAGTGTCTGGCACAGAGCAACTATTAAATGAATGCTAACTACTATAATGCTATATTTTTCATTATATATTACAATCTATTTGTATACCTATCTCTGTTGTTAGGCTGTGAACCCGTTGAGGATATGAGTTATATTTCAATCTTTAACTTCAGTTCTAAACTAAAGTGCCTAGTAGAGGCTGTCATGATAGATGGACAGGAGTTGTAAGAGGTGGGGAAGATGGAATAAAAAAAGCACTTGAACTAGGATGCATGTTCTTTTTGTATGCCATGAGGATAGGATGTAAAGATAGGGGAGGATTTAACCTAGGTTCTTGTCAGATCTGGGGCAGCAAGGGTTTCCACAGTGGCTTCTATGAGGGTCCTGGCAGGGTTTAAGAGGCTCCAAATTAAAATATTTTTATGTGAAGTAGGTAAGATTAAGAGCATAATTAGTTAGGTGATGATGATAGGAACTGCAGGAGTTGGGAGTCAGAGAAGGCACACGGACCGATCACAGTAAACTGCAGGAAGTGAAGAACTAGGGGTGGTGGAAGGGGAGGAGGGCGGGGGGTGGGGTGAATGGGTGACGGGCACTGAGGGGGACACTTGACGGGATGAGCACTGGGTGTTATTCTGTATGTTGGTAAATTGAACACCAATAAAAATTAATTTATTAAAAAAAATCTCCATATGCAATGCTAACAGGGAGAGAGACTCCTGTGGCTAGGTCAACTGCAGAATTCACTCACTGAATGTATACAAAGTAATGTTTCTGGGAGGAACAACACAGTTAAAATACTGTCATTAGTTTCCACTCTAGATTTTTAAATATTGATGACATGTTTTCTAATATCATGTCTGTAACAGCACAGAAAAAAATAAACCAAACTTGATTCAATCCTGGTTCAACCATTTACTACTTGTATAACCCCAGCAAGTTACTTAATTATTGTGTCTTTTTATTCAACTGAGAATACTGCCATCATGTGGGATTATTATGAGGGTTAGTAACAACAAATATAAAGTGTCTGATACAATACTTGACCAATAGAGGGGTACTCAATAAACAGTAACTACTACTGTTATTTTATAGATCTGCAAAGTTTCTCTGAACATTTCCTTCAACATTTTGAGAAGTATAAAAATCAGCTAACAAAGTAACTGTTAACAGTCACATGTTCAAATATAACATGAATATTTTAAAGTTAATTTTTATGTTGAAAGGTAAAGATTCCGGCAGTCTGGCTGGCTCAGCAGTTTAGCGCCGCCTTCAGCCCAGGGTGTGATCCTGGAGACCCAGGATCGAGTTCTGTGTTAGGCTCCCTACACGGAGCCTGCTTCTCCCTCTGCCTGTGTCTCTGCCTCTCTCTGTCTCTCATGAATAAATAAATAAAATCTTAAAAAAAAAAAAAAAGGTAAAGATTCTGGCAAATTATAGCACACAAGGCAAAAGTTAAGTTGTAGAGATCAGACTAACTTCGGTTATGGTTTTCCCCCCATTATGAATTGCTGTAGCACAAGAATGAAAATCACTAGAACAAAAAAGTGATACCTTTTTAACCCTCTTAAGAAACTGGCCCAGCCAAAGGAAATGTGTATAGTAGGTGTACTTATAACCTATTACATTGGTTTGAAATTTCACTTGTTTTCATCTATCCTTTCTTCAGTTGGAAAATTTTGAAACAGGTGAATGTATTAAAATCTGTTCAGAAAACATAATGAAAAGGAACCTCTAACTAAAGACCTATAATGGTTTCATCTTATTTAGTAAATTTAATCTCTCCTGGCTTTGAAGATTCACCATAAGCTGGTTCTATGCAATTTACCCTTATTTACCACAACTTAATTTCATTAATTCTTAATCGAGTCTAGCCTCTAAATCCTACACCCATGCTGGCTCACTCTCACCTCTGCACTCTTGTGTGGTCCCCAGCTGCACTGTACTCACCCTCTATCTGTTTTCTCACCAGGGCCTGCTTATGCCCAGGACCTGTGCACTTTGAATAGCACAATTAGCATCTCATCACAAACTGTTCTAGTTTTTAATTTACACAATCCAGCTCTTTAACAGTAGAAAATTCTACTCTATTAATTTCCTTTCCATGTTTGTTCAAGACAAAAGACTACCTTGCAGGCCACACATTAAAAAAATGACATTGAAGTGAGACCTCTCATGAACCATCTTCTGCCAGTCCTGACGAGGAGATTATAATTTTTTTTTAAATTTTTATTTATTTATTTATGATAGTCACAGAGAGAGAGAGAGAGAGAGAGAGGCAGAGACACAGGCAGAGGGAGAAGCAGGCTCCATGCACCGGGAGCCCGACGTGGGATTCGATCCCGGATCTCCAGGATCTCGCCCTGGGCCAAAGGCAGGCGCCAAACCGCTGCGCCACCCAGGGATCCCGAGATTATAATTTTTTTTAGTGAAGTTACATGACAGGCAAAGTTAGTATTTGTTGGCTGATTTTTAGACAAGTCTTGGAAATAAAGTCAATCCTGTACAATTTTCTTAATTCAGCAACGTTAAAGCTTTCTAATCGCTCTAAATCAAAATTATAAAAAATTATAAAGGGAGAGACTTCTTTAGTCAAAATTTCCTTTGAGAAAAGCTTTTGAACACAAAGAATAATTCCTAGGGTTCTCAAAACAAGAAGAATTTCTACATCTTATTTGTAACTTGTTCTTTCACACATGGCTATTAGATCAGCATAGATTATAAAAACTGCACACAAATAAGTAAAAATTAAATATAATCCTGAATTCCTTAAATGTTATTATTGGTTGAAAATCACAGGAATGACTCCCAAAATTTAGGACAAGTTAAATTAAACCACATTTAAGATTTATCATTTTTGTTACTGTTTTGTTTCTTCATTCAGAATTTACTTAGATTGACTACCTCCAGGAGTTATTACCCAAAACACTCAGACTTTAACTGAAGGGTGTAATATCAGGAAAGAGTAATGTCCAAACTTTTCCTTTGAGGTTTTAATTAATTTAGTGGTCAAAATGAGTTTCTTTCTTAACAAATGAAGTTGTGTTACCTGCTCAAATCTTATCATTGTGAATCAACCTTATTGTACAAATAATTTAAGATAAGAAATATGCTTTTGTATTCATGTTTAGATAAGAACTTATCATTAAAAAATAATAAGGGAATAAGGGATGAGGAAATTGACCTAGAGCCCCATTAACAAAAAGTATCTCTCTAATCAAAACACATGAATTTAAATTACTTAGGAGAGTACTTAATAATACTATTTGAAAATTTCATGAGTCAAATCTCATAGATTCAAGGTAGTGCCAGTTTAAAAAGTACTTAGATACTAAGAAATCTGTTAACTGATATTAGGCAAGTATCCTTTTTTGCAATCTCAGTAATACCACCATGAAGGGAATAAGAAGACAAGAGTAAAAAGACTTCCCTCTATCCACAACGGTAAATTACACAAATCTAGGTATAAAGAAAGGTATAAAGAAAACTTTAGTTTAACAAAAGTAACTTATGATACCTAGACAAACTATCAAAGGTTTACAGATGACAATTTAAAAAAATTGCCATGCCAGTATTAATCATTTTAGATCATGATAAAAAGGCTTAAGGAAAATTATTCTCAATATTGTAATAATTCTTATTAAAAAGACAATTTTCTAAAATATTATTATTTAATCATAATCAAGGATTCACAGAAAATATTTATCATGAAAGAGTCAGCCACAGCCAGTAATACAGTGTTGTTACAATACAGAGGAAGGAAGAAAGAAATATGTGAAGATCAAAATTTATCACTTACCTCATGATTCAGCTCTGCTATCTGATCTTTCAGTTCCCTAATATACTGGTTAGAATCAGACTTGTTAAGCTGTCCTTGAAGCTTTCCTTCTTCTTTCTGTTTTGTGACAATAGAACAAACCAAAAACAAGAGACAGCGTTCACAACATGTACTCAAATATTTGAAGATATAGGACAGCATAAAGGCATATCCTTTAACCGGCTAAATTCTGAACTAATCTGGAAGGTATTCTCAAACTATGTCTGGAAGGTAATTTATAGTAAACTATACTGAATATTTCTAAATAATGCTTAGTGGAAGTTGTTTACAACAAATACAACTTGTAAAATGTACCTTTTGAGAGACTCTTAGAAATCAACAATTGAATGAAAACCAGTGAAAAAATTACCCTAGAATTTCAAAGGCATTCTCCTAGTTACATTGGGCACAAATGATTTTCTATCTCTACTATAAGAGATTCAACTCTTAGTTGATAAGGTAGTGGGCCTCCCACAGCTACCCTGGGAATTAGCTTTTGTTTGGCGAACAGAGAAAAGAAAAAAGAAAAGGTTCTGCAACCATTCTTAAAAGGAAAAGGATAGCTCTGAATCTCTTCTGTTTAATTAATTTAGGAAAGTATGTTGGGAGTCCTAGATATAGCTGATAAAAAGGTACTCCAATAATAACAAATAGATCTAGAACCATACTGTGACCATTTTCCAGGGATACAGATCAGGGAGGAGAGAAGCTGCCTTTTTCTTTATCATTGGAAAACAAATGTGACTTTTAAGATATAGGGCTTATGAGAGGATGAAACTGAATTGTTTATGACATCTCCAGATTATTTTAAGTTGATGCTTAAAATGTGAAGAAGCTGTGATCCAGAAACATCTACTGAAATTACTAACTCCTGATAGCAGAAAAGTACTGGTTTACTTTTAATAGTCACAACCACTCAGTTTCCTTCCAATGGAGACAACCACCATTGACATTTTTTTAGTGTAATCTTTTCATGATATTTTGTACATACGTAATCAAACACAATTATACACACACACATATTTTTACCTATACTACAGACACTCTATACACTGTTCTACACTTGCTATTATTCTTAAAAATCCAATTTGCCCCAGGTCAGGCTCCCTGCTCAGCAGGGAGTCTGTCTCCTTCTCTCTCTGCCCCTCCTCCTACTCCACACAGGGTCTCTTGATTAAATAAAAATTTTAAAAAAACCCAAACAAACCAACCTGAAGATCATTTAATATCACTACATACATATAGGTAAAAAAGAGCTACATTTTGATTGAAAGAGTTTTTAAGTCTCTGTAAAAGTTATCTTAGTGCTATCTGAATATAAGTTTTTTAAAAGTAAATTTTAAAATGTACTGTAGGCCCATAAAATTACCTCAAAAGTAAAGGGTTATACTGCAGAGCACTTTCCAATGTGGAGATCTCTATTGCAATCTTTCCATTCACAGTAAGAAGGGACCATAGACATCACCTGGTTTGGTCCCCTGACTGTAGCTAAGTACATGCTCTACTTTCCTTCTTATATACCTTCTCCTAATATCCTTGGTAGAAAGAAGAACTAACTAGAATTGCTCCAGTAACAGAATGGGTGACTCCCCTATAAAATCAGGGTACCATTCCAAAAGAATTGCTCTTCTTCATTAACTGTCTTTCTCACCTTGATTGCATTCTTGTGTACCTTAGTTTACTCTTCAAATCCTATCCAATTATTCTTACAGGCCAACTCCTTTTTTTTCTCCTTCTGTTTTTGGCAATCTGCCTTAAAAATCTTTCACTAGAATATGGCCTGCTGAAGCAGTTTAGCTAATATTTGTATAGATATAAAGGAAAAACTATAGTTTCTATAGGCTTTAAGAGTCTCATGTTCTACCGAATGAGCTAGCCGGTGCTTCTATAGGCTTTAAAACTTTTCTTATATATTTGAACACATGAAAATCACATATTATCATCTAAGCAAAGAACTGTCTAATTTAGGGGTACCTGGCTGGCTCAGTCACTGGAGCATGTGGCTCTTGATCTTGGGGTTATGAGTTTGAGCCACATGCTGGGTGTGGATATTTCTTAAAAATAAAATCTTATTTACAAAAAGGAACTAATTTAACAATTATATTCCAAATGCACTAGGCTTCTTAAACATATTAAACAGACCTTATGATTTTTAGTCATAAGCCTATATTTAAGAAAAAAATATTTTTTGAAAATTTAGTTAGAAACATTGGTTTAAGCCAAAGCAATCCTGATAAAGAAGAACATCTTAAAAAAAAAAAGATTTATTTATTTATTTATTTATTTATTTATTTATTTATTTATTTATTTATGAGAGAGAGAGAGAGAGAGAGAGTGAGTTAGAGGCAGATACACAGGCAGAGGGAGAAGCAGGCTCCATGCAGGGAGCCCGACGTGGGACTCGATCCCGGGTCTCCAGGATCACACCCCGGGCCGAAGGCAGGTGCCAAACCGCTGAGCCACCCAGGAACCCCAAGAACAAACATCTTATAATACCAGATTTCAAAATATACTACAAAGCTACAGTAATCAAAACAGTATGGTACTGGCAAAAAATATATATAGACACATAGATCAATGGAGCCCCAGAAATAAACCCATGATTATATAGTCAATCTATGACAAAGGAAGCAAGTATATATATAATGAGGAAAAGACAGTCTCTTCAATAAATGGTGCTGGGAAAACTATATAGGTACAAAAAAAAAAAAGAAACTGAACCATTTTTCTTACACCATACACACACACAAAAAAAACCTCAAAATGAATTAAAGACCTACATGGGACACATGAAACCATAAAAATCCTACAAGAGAGCGCAGATAGTAATTTCTCTGACATTGGCTATAGCAACATTTTTTTCCTACATGTTTCCTAAGACAAGGGAAACAAAAGCAAAAATAAACTACTGGACTACACCAAAATAGAAAGCTTTCTGCACAGCAAAGGAAATCATCAAGAAAAAGGCAATAAAACAAAAAGGCAATCTACTGAATGGGAGAAGATATATGCAAATGATGCATCCAATAAGGAGTTCCTATCCCCAAACCCAAACAATCCAATTTAAAATGGGGAAAGGATGGGATCCCTGGGTGGCGCAGCGGTTTGGCGCCTGTCTTTGGCCCAGGGCGCGATCCTGGAGACCCAGGATCAAATCCCACGTCGGGCTCCCGGTGCATGGAGCCTGCTTCTCCCTCTGCCTGTGTCTCTGCCTCTCTCTCTCTCTCTCTCTCTCTGTATGACTATCGTAAATAAATAAATAAATAAATAAGACATAAAAAACAAAAAAAAATAAATAAATAAAATGGGGAAAGGAGGGCAGCCCCGATGGTCCAGCGGTTTAGCGGAAAATGTAAATCAAAACCACATGAGTTATCACCTCACACCTGTCACAACAAATGGCTAGAATTAAAAAGAGAAGAAATAGGGCCAAGCAGTTTGGCGCCGCCTTCAGTCCGGGGATGATCCTGGAGACCCGGGATCGAGTTCCATGTCAGGCTCCCTGCATGGAGCCTGCTTCTCCCTCTGCCTGTGTTTCTGCCCCCCCCCCTCTCTCGCTGTGTCTGTCATGAATAAATAAATAAAATTAAAAAAAAATAAAAGATGTGAGAGCCCAAAATAAACACTTATATTTTTTAAAAAAATAAGAAGAAATAACAAGCGCTGACAAGGATGTGGAGTATAAGGAATCCTCATGACCTACTGACAGAAATGTAAATTGATGCAACCACTCTGGAAAACAGTATGGAAGTTCCTCAAAAAATAAAAAAATAGAATAACTGGATCATAGAATATGATCCAATGTTTCCACTATTGGGTATTAACCCAGAGAAAACAAAAACACAAATTTAAAAAGTATATGCACCCTTATGTTTATTGCAGCATTATCTGCAATAGCCAGGAAGGAAGCAACCTAAGTATCCATCAATAGACAAATAGATAAGGAATTTGTGGTATGTATATTCAATAGAATATTGCATATCCATAAAAAGGATAAGACCATGCCATTTGAAACAATGTGGATGGACCTAGAGGGTATAATGTTAAGTGAAATAAGTCAGATTGAGAAAGACAAATACCATATGATTTCACTTATAAGTGGAATCTTAAAAGAAAAAAATTAATAAACACATAAAAAGCAGAATCAGACCTATAAATAGAACAAACTAATGGTTGCTAGAGGGGAAGGGGATGTGGGTTTGGGCAAAATGAGTGAAGGGGAGTGGGAGATACAGGCTTCCAGTTATGGGAATAAAGGCACAGCATAAGGAATACAGTCGATGATATTGTAATAGCAATGTAATGGGACAGATGGTAGCTATATTGGTGGTGAACATAATGTATAAACTTGTCAAATCACTAAACTGTATACCTGAAACTAATATAACATTGTATGTCAATTATACTCAATTAAAAAAAACAAAACCAAAACAGCAGAAATATCGACTCAGAGCCCCAATCAAATCATATATGAAGCTGTGTTTTTTTTTTCATTCATATGTTCCACAATTTCCCTTGGTTCTAGACTTATTCCATCTCAGTTCTCTATATCCTCAAAGTAGGAGAAGATTATGTCAAGTAGAAGGGAAAAGTAGTGAGTGAATCAAGAGGGGAGAAAAGGAAGAATGAGGAAAAAAGAAAAAAATATATGGAGAAAGAATATTCACTGAAAATTAATTTTATAGAATGTATTTTCCAAATTCCATATATGGCATGAGAAATGGCAACTTCCAAAGGGGACTAATTCGATAAGAATCACTCCTTCGGTTATTATGTGTTTAGCTGTCCTCTGATGGCTTTTAATTTTAGCCTAATTTTAGCATTGTGCCATATTAACTGTCTTGAAATAGTTGATTAAATGGAAAGTATAATTGCCAACTAGGAAGAAATCCTCATGGAAGAGATGGAAAGGCTAGATATCTGTGGTTTGGGATTAGATTTAGAAAAGTTTTCTTTATATCTGGTCTCCAGTGAAAGCAAAGGTCTTGACAATTTTGAATATCCCAAAGTAAGAGTATCATGCAGGACAAAATAAAATTCTCAGGATGAATAAAATGACAATGTCCAAAGTAAGTACT